CCCTTCGAAGGGTACAGCTTAGGCGTCGGACAACCTGCGATGTCGCATGACATGTTTTTCGTCCCCACCACCGCGCGATGTCGTGTCAGACGCGTAGGCTGCACGCGTGAAGTTTACACTTTGGGTGCGGTTGCGAGACGTGAAAAGACGCACGTGCGCCAGGTACAGTGGTCTGCCCGTACAGTGGTGGGCCCGTACAGTGGTGCATACAGTCATGTACACACGTGTACAGTATGTGTCAGGTTGGCGTCCTGACACATACTGTACACGTGTGTACATGACTGTATGCACCACTGTACGGGCCCACCACTGTACGGGCAGACCACTGTACCTGGCGCACGTGCGTCTTTTCACGTCTCGCAGCCGCACCCAAAGTGTAAACTTCACGCGTGCAGCCTACGCGTCTGACACGACATCGCGCGGTGGTGGGGACGAAAAACATGTCATGCGACATCGCAGGTTGTCCGACGCCTAAGCTGTACCCTTCGAAGGGTACAACGGGTCCACGCTTCAGGACCATCGGTGTGTCTCAAGTCTTGTGCGGGCTCCCCATGCACCATATGTCTTCTATGCCTCGTGAGGCAACGTGTCGGCGAAAGCGTGTTGAAAACTGACACCCGCTCATCGGCGCGAGTGACAACATACTCGTACAACTAGTGAGAGCGCATAGCATTCCGACGTGATGACTCCGTGCGAGGGAAGGAAGGTTGCAGTCTTGGATGCAGCTCCTACACATTTCTCCTTTTCCTCAGCAACACCTTTTCTGCTGTCGTTACTGGGCTTGGAAGCAGCTCCTTTAACGTCTCGCTCAGAATGGTGGAGAGAGTCCGCTTCCTGGTGGAGGTGCGCAACCCGCCATTCGAGCGTCCCCGTAGCTACTCGTGTTTTTCTAAGGACGTGGAGGACGGAGTCGCCCCTTTCAATCAAAGAAAAAAGCTTTTGCCTCGACAATACGGTTTGTGTTGGGCAGAGTTTGTGCTCTCATAGATGGTACTATATCGTCACACTGGAGCACGCATAGGGATAGGGGTTATAGCAGGGATACCCCGGCTGTCCTATTGCGGCGTTTGAGCGCTTGACGTGGACTGTGGAATAAGTTTAGACGGCGCGGTAGTCTTCAGAGGTTCGTAATGTGGATGACGCTAAACTGTGCAATTACAATACTCAAAATCATGACCCTTCTCACCCTTCCGGTGAGAAGGGTACAGTATTTTTCTGTGCAGTGCCACGAATAGTAAACTGTTTTGAATATGGCTCGACGGACCTACGCGTCCTCCAGAGTTGCTACGCAGTCGTGATCCCGGCCTTATATTTCCGGTGCGGTCTGAATTGGCCGCTGCACGTCAGTTAGTCTCTCTTACCCTGACTACGTGGCTGCTAGCTGATCCGGGCGTCCTGCTAGTACGCTTGTCACAGGATGTAAGGGCAGTTACATTCCCTCTTCGCCCAATCACGCTGTCGTCCGGCATAAGTTCACTAACGACCACGCCGTACCTCTTGACACCAATATGATACCCGCCCCCCGGGCGAGGATTCACGGAGAACGGTTCCATTCCCAGTGGACCCGGGATGCATACCAATCCACGGTACGTGAGCATCCCTGCGTTGCTTGCCATCTGAGCGTTGATTTTAAAGCCCAATCCCACTCGGCCTGCCCCAGCTTTAGCGAACAAGCACGTGTCTTCTGCGTCAAGCTTGGTCGAGAAACTCTCGGCCCTGAGGAGTGTTATGACGTCGTTAGTGGTTTCTGTCTTGACCAATTCGCCGACTTGCTCGACCAGTTTAACGCAACGCAGGATATGTCTGACCGCCCTGTCCTCGAGCCATACGATTTGCATAAACTTAAGATAGAAAGACCAGACCGTGATGGCAGCGGCCACTGCCTCGAATGCAGCTCGTCCCCGGTCAGAGCCTTCCCCCGCTGGGACCGCAACGAAACGAGCATACCCAGACAGGACCACTATTGCCAGCGCAGTGGATGTCACCAGTGCCAGAACAGAGCCGAAGCTAAACACTGTGACATATCCCTGTGCGGCTTTGCGTTCAAGCTTAGACAGCTCACGACCATTAAACGTGGCTCCATTCCACGACTTCGACATGACACCCGCACGACACTGACAGATCTTGAACCCAGACTCGTCGTGTTTCACTAACTCTCTGCAAGGGACGTAGTCGGTCAGGAAGTGGCGTGCGGTCGTATCGAGAGGATGTTGGGATCCGTCTTTCGTAAAAAGGCCGACGTGCTCGTTGAACCGGCTCCCGTGAACATTATTCTGGGTCGGTCGCCTGCTAGCTCTCAGCAGGATGACGACTCCATTGACCACATCACGGACCTCGTCTGGAGTCAGAGGCTCATCTGCAGACTCAACAACCAGGGGGCAGGCTCTAGCTTCAAGACCACCGTGCACCGCAGTACTCCCGACCCTGACCCTACGGACCCTCTCTTCAAGATCATCTACGCACCCCGCTCGGAATTCGCCATGGAGCTCCTGACTAGCGACCTTACCCGCTATGCAAGCCAGCAGATCCCTCCGAGCGTGCACACTTGTGTATTTACCATTGAGAGCCCTGACCGCTCTCCAACTAACTCCAGCCCCCGTCCGGACCTCAATGTGTAAGGCATTCGGGTCTTTGGCCATTTCATCGGAAAAGCCTGATCTAGTAACGTCAACCCACTCCCAAGCGGATTCCAGGGCGCCGCAGTCCTCTATGGCCTGCGCACTGGTAGCCAAGCCAAGGAACCCTTCAAACCTGTCCACAGTATAGCCAGCCGGCCTGTATCTACAGCTCATCGTCTTGTCTTCGACGTCTTCTACTTCATCGAGTAGGTAGCTCATTTCGCGTGCTGATTCACAGCTTTTGAATTCGTGTGCCCTAGGGTGTCGTCCGGAAAGAGCTTGGCATGCTGGAGGTCTCAGATTCGACCCTCAACAAGAGTAGCTTGTTGTCCCTTTTATTTGGTCTAAAAGAGGGTAGCAATGGATCTTTTTTTCTTCCTTCCTCTTTCGCCCCTCTCCTCTCTCGCCCCTCTCCTCTCTCGCCCCTCTCCTCTCTCGCCCCTCTCCTCTCTCCGTCGTCCCGCCCTTTTTATATCGCCCTCCAAGACTTGTTCCGCCTCTCACAAACCGACGAGTGGAAGCGAATCCACCTCACAGCTACAATTATCCTCACAATTGTAATTCTATATTCCCAATTGGCATAATTTGCAGCGGACATGTATTGTTCAGAAACCAGCCATCTGATTTTTTTCTTCCAAACAATCATACAGTACAGTAGTTGGATAAATATAGGGTCATTCTGAGACCTTGTCCCCCTACTGATTGCAGCATTAAGCCATAAATATACTGTAGCAAGTAACTGTCATGTGACACCTCCACCGTACCTTGTAACTGTCATGTGACACCTCCACGGTACCCTTCCCCAATGGCTCAAATTGAAACACATTTTATGAATATTAAAATTAAAACTGCTTCTAGCACACCCATTCTCTTTGTTTCTGTCTCAATTGACGCGCACTGGTGTCTTTCGATCGCCACACAGCCTCTCATGATTGTCGGTGAATCATAATGCCAGCAATGTTCGACGGGGCGGGAGGCCGACTTCCAACGCCAGCCTCCACGGGATCGACCGGAAGCTTCGCAACGGCGTTCGCGCACACGCCGAAGGCCACGAGTGGTCCGAACCACAACATGGCCGAGCTGGATATCCCCCGTCGAGAAGGAGACCGCAGGCGGCCTAGCGTGCCTCGACTCACGGATGCAGAGGCACGCCACGCGGCGACGTTCGCGTCGACCGATGGCAGCGCGTACATTTGTTGGCTGTGCCGGACGTACGGCCACGCCATGTACGCGTGCCCGTTCCTGTCACCTGAACAACGTCAGTTCACGGCGTACAGGAACTACCGCTATCAGATGGAGACGCGCCCCGGAATGCCCAATCTCATCCAGCAGTCTACGCGGGCAGACCGAGGCCCGCGTCGAGGTGACCCGAGCCGATTGGGTGGGGGCGTCCGTTTTGCCCCTCGTGAAGGCCGGTACCGATACACGGGGACCGATCAAAGGGATCGACGTGACCTTCGTCGGATGGATACGCGATATTCTCGTCGAGATGGGCGAGGCGACCGGAGCCGACCTCCGTTGCCCCAAGGGGTACAGAACGCCATCATGGACCTCCAAGACTGGGCTGGGGAAACGTACCCCCAACCCACGGAAGGAAGCGGAGGAGAGCCCGTTCTCTCCGCCCGTCGAATATTGCAACGGCCGGACGTTGCAATCCAAAGCCACGAAGTATCCGATTACTTCGTAGAAGATGCCCAGCCGGGGTGGGGAAACAGTCTTCATCCGCGCGGCCATGCGCCCGTCGACGAGCTAGCTAACGATAGTCAGGCGAATAGCACTGACAGCTCGGGTAGTTCGAAAAACCCGTAAAGACAGTTACGTTCGCGCGGTCGCGTAAACCGTCTTGTCACACCAACCTAGACCCACCCCTATTTATCCCCGGGGGAGGAGGGGAATGTTTACCGATATTATTCCCCTAAACCCCGCACAAGCGCACCGAGACACCCGTAAGCTCGGTGCGAAAAAACGAAGACGGCGAGGCAACCATGAGCCCAGCGCACATGGAGGAAGGCACTGTGGCAACCGTGGGCCAAGTGCCTAACAAGAAGCGCATCGAACGCGCCGGCGGCCCGACCCAGGGGGACCCGGAGCCGCCAGAAGAAATCAAGCCGTGTACGAGCGCGACTTGTCGCGGGGACGCGGCCGACCGAAGGGCGCCCCGCGACCAAGGCCGAAGGACGCGGAAAAAAATCGGAACCGGCGCCGGCGGCCCAGGCGGAACGATCTGGCCGAGCCGAGCACGCCGAGGGTGGTCGACGGCGTCATTTGCCTTATGACGTCGAAGATTTACAACGTCCTCGGCTCGATAGCCACAGAGGTAAATGCCTTCAAGCCCCGCACGATCGCCGTTGATACGTGCTCGGGGTACGATCTGGTGAGGAAGGCCGACCTTCCTCCCGATTGGTTGCGGTACGTCATCTGCGACGCGCTACTGCCCCGATTGGCAGGTGCGAATAGCAACCCGCTTAAGCTCTCGGCCGTCTTACGTCTGGCCGTGCGCTTGAGGAACACGACGTTCCGAATTCCGTTCGTCGTGGCGGACCAGCTCGCCGTGCCGGTCCTCCTTGGTACGGCCTTCATCGATACACACGTACGGAGTATCGAAATCGAAGCTCAACGGTTGGAGCTCCGCCAAGGTGGCTCCGTTGCCATCGTCGACGGGAAAGGGGAGCCGACTCCCCCAACCAGGCGGCACGGACGTCAGACAAGCCGGGCTGACGCACGCGACGAAGCCCCGCAGGCGATCCGAATCGCCCGCTGGGTTACCATCCCCGCGAGGTCGCAGGCCCGTGTGCGCGTTACCACGACGGGGAGGGGCCTCGTGTTTATAGAGCCGAAGCCGTCACTACAACACCGACATGGAGTGAGGCTGACGAACGGCGTCGTCGAAGTCCTGCCGAACCAGACCTTCGACGTCATCGTCGCGAACTTTTCGCGACAGGAAAGGCGGCTTCCGAAGCACACCGTCGTGGGATACGCGAAGCGCAACCTCCTCGCGATCTTGACGCCCGAACGTGGATCGCGCACGCGCTACACCTCACCGACTTGACCGATCAAGTCAGAACGGCAGGAGCTGGTCGACCACGCTCCGCCCAGGGGGCAACCGTTGAGGAGAGAGGAGCCGGTACGGACGGCCGACCGGCGAAGTGCCCGCCGCCGGAAGGGGGCACTGCACCCGCCTCTAAGAAAGATCCCGAAATCCGCCGGAGGATTGGGAAAAAGAAATCGACATGTCATACATCGATGATGACAAGTTCCGGGGCCACGTGCTCGAGATGCTCCGTAAGCACTCGAGTCTGTGGAGCGGGGCGCTCGGAACGATCCGAGCGACCGAACACCGCATTCCCCTCGAACCGGGTACGAAGCCGATACGTTCAATGCCCTACCGAAAGGGGCCGGCTATGCGTGAGATGGTCGCCAAGAAAGTCAACAAAATGTTGAACGCAGGGGTAATCGAACACGTGAGCACGGAGTGGGCGTCTCCCGTGGTGCTCGTACCGAAGAAAGACGGCTCTCTTCGGTTATGCGTGGACTACCGGCGTCTCAACGCAAAGACGGCGGCGGATTCGTATCCGCTGCCCCGGATGGACGACTGCATCGATTCGCTCAGAGATGCAGCCGTCTTCACGACGTTGGACTGCAATTCCGGTTATTGGCACATCCTCGTCGCTCCGGAAGACCGGGACAAGACCACGTTCACTACGCATATGGGAACGTTTCGCCATTTGCGTATGCCGTTCGGGCTAAAAGGGGCACCGGCCACCTTCCAACGTGCCCTCGATATCATCCTATCTGGCGTCCGATGGCAGATATGCCTCGTCTACCTGGATGATGTCATCGTGTTCTCCCGTACGCACGGAGAACACGCGAAGCATCTCGACACTGTCTTGAGCTTGTTGAGGAGCACCGGAATCTCCCTCAAGCTCAAGAAGTGTAGCTTCTTCCAACCGAAGGTGCACTACCTGGGGCACGTCATTTCCCGAGGTAAGCTGACCGTCGCCGAAGCGGCGGCGGATGCCTTCAAGACGTTCACGTTTCCGAGGACGTTGACGCAGGTGCGCTCGTACCTCGGAGCGTGCAACGTCTACCGCCGCTTCGTGAAGGGGTTCGCGAAAATTGCGCGCCCATTAACGCACATGACGCGCAAGGACGCGGACCCCAACTTCGAAGACCCGACCGAGCTGCAACTTCAAGCGTTCGAAGCGTTGAAGGAGCGGATGATTTCCCCGCCGATCCTAGCATTTCCGCGGTACGGTCGTCCGTACATGATCGACACGGATGCTAGTCCCTATCAACTGAGCTGTTCGTTGCTCCAGGAACACGAAGGCGCTAACGACTGGCGCCCCGTGGGGTATTGGTCGTACTCACTTTCCGACAGTGAGCGCAACTACAGCGCTACAGAGCGCGAGTGCTTTGCCGTAGTGTGGGCCGTACGCACGCTACGGCCGTACATCGAAGGTACCAAGTTCACCGTCCGGACGGACCATGATGCCCTCCGATGGCTTATGTCCCTCACGGAGAGCTCCGGAAGTCTT